ATGTGTATTAGTTTGTTCTCGGAATGTGTTTTCTTTTTAAATTCGTTCATGAAATGTAAGTGATACTAGCATTTGTTGCCATCCCTTGATGGTTAAACCAATTTAACCATTTTTCACCAGAACAACAATAAAAACAAACAAATGATATCTTTGCCCCTGTGATAAAGTTGGGATGGGTGCGGGTGCAGAGAGAGATTAGTCAGGGTCCCACTATAGATCATTCTCCTGAATAGTAGCCTTTGCAACTCATTTGATTTAATTAAAATGAATTTTGCAGTGGTTGGTAGTTAAAGTAGAACTTTATTGCTACCGTCCAGATCAAATCCGCTCACTATTCGAATTCCTCCCCCCATGGCAGTTGTTCAAATTTGAATTCTATTAAGATGTGGAATAAAAGCTGGCCTAATGGCAACTGCTGTCAATTGTCGTCATAACCGATCTGGTTCACTAAAGCCCTTGAGTGAAGCAAATCTGCCATCCTTACCTGGTCTGGCCTCTGTTTGACTCTAGACCCACAGCAAAGTGGTTGACTTTTAAATGCTCCCTAGGCAATAATTGCTGGACTAGGTCACATAGAGTCATAGAGTTGTACAGCACAGAAACAGACCCTTTGGCGCAACCCATCCATGCTGACCAGATGTCCTAAATTAATCTAAATTCATTTGTCAGCATATGGCCCATGTCCCTCGATCTATTGATGTACCTGTCCTGGTGTGTCCCATGAATGAAATAAATACAACTTGGTATTGTGATATTGGGATTTGTTTTACTGGCTGATGCATGAGCATATGAAATTTCCTGTGTGTGGCATTGTGAAGGTGTTCGTGCTTACTTTGTGCAGACTTGTCTGTTGCACAAATCTTCTGCGAGCATTTTTCTGATTAACTTTAAATCCTCGGCTAGATGCATTTCTCTTCCTGTGGGGCCGTAAAGTGTGAATCCAATTATTTCCACATCCTGTGATGTATCAGGTAATAATACTTCCACGAGTAACAAATGAAACTGTGCACTTACCACAGCATAATGTGTATGTAATGAGACAATTTTGCAGCTCTTTGAACTTACTATTTTTGTTTTGTTTCAGAGTTACTTGAACTGCTCAGTGCGGAGGACCCCAGAGGAAGGACTGCACCAATAAAATCAGCTTTCTGCTTTTAACTGCTTTTTACAAGAGACTTAAGACCATCAATGCATTGCCAACTTTCCCAATCTTTTTATTTCCCTGATGATGCAGAATTTTTACTATTTAATTAATTTTATTTTTTACAAAAAATGTCTTGTTTCAGAGGAGCGCAAATGTCCTTGAGCTGAGTTAGCAAGTGCTTTGCTAGTGTTAGTGGAACTCTCCATTCTATGGTTATGTCAGGCATGGATACATTTTTTTAAAAAGTGTTTTGGTTGCTTAGAGCATGTAAAAGGTGATAAATGTGATCATCTTCCAAACAAACACAACAGCTTAGCAAAACCTGTTCATTGCACCGATTCATTGAATTTTTTTTTCCTGGGCAAAAAAAATTGTTCCCGTGTGTGTGTGTGTGTGTGTGTGTGTGGGAGGGAGAGTTTCAACCAAGTTGCATGTAAAACATAAATGTCTCCTTTACATTTGCACAACCAGCATACATTCCTAAAGGATTTTAATAGGTTTTGAAAGTTGCTTGAGGAAGGCTTTATTAGCTACTAAGCTGCAAGTTCATTTAACATATTTAAAATGTAAGTAATCTACCATGTACTGGTATTAATTTTGCTGCAGTAAGTTTTGTGCCTTGAAAATAACTTTGTTTACAGCTGTAACTGAGTTCTGCTTTACTTTTAATGGTAATTTTTCCTTTCCCCTTAATTTCTGATGGAAATGGTTACTTTTGCATGTCCAAGCAAGCGATACTGTATCCGTGGGGAAGGAACAGTTTGACGATAGTCTATTCACTTTACTCAAACAGAGACATTCTGTTCAAAATGATAATGCTTCTTGTTTGCAGCATTAACTCTTCAAATACTAACTGGGATTTTGCTACAGCTACTGGATCAGAAGTTTAAATCCGCTGGGATTTCTTCTATGTTTTTCAGCTTCCTTTTGTCTGGAGGAATAAAAGTGTTCCCACTGCACCCCCTAGCCTCTACCAATAATTCCTTTACATCCATCTCTCACATGGACAGTCTTTAGCTCCTGTCCGTCTCATGGAATGATTACAGTGGCCATTCAACACGCATTCATGTTCATTCATCTGTAGTACCCAAAAATCTGTTCCCAATTCCCAGTGAATGGATTGCAAAATTCTAAGGAAGCTTAAATTCAATGTAAACGTAATGTGGTTATTGTAACATCTCTCTGCTGCTTGTATCAGTCTTTTCTATCTTGCCCATTTAATGTAAATGGATTTGTGGCAACAGTATAGCATTCCATCTGGTAACTGATGAGAACTGAAAAGAGCATCTAAACTGATAGCAATGAGGCTTGAATAGTGCACAACACTATGAACAGCAATTAAGAATATCACATTCACATCTTCTGACTGGTGCTTAAACTGCCTGTACCTTCATTACTGAATTACTAAAGAAAGCATCTTACTAAAATTCTGTTCTGCAGTTAAGAATCTTCACCGAAGCAGTAGATGAACAACATTTCAGCTACCTATCCTGCAGAGCAAAATCTGTATTGCTTGCAGAGTATCCTAAGTCGATGACTGCTTCCAGATACAAGTCTTGTTTGTTTTGGTAATGGCAGGAATTTAATTTATGATGTTTGATGCAACTTGGACTAAACGGGACACAGTTCATGTAGCTCACTTCTGTCATTTGGTGCTTGACACCACACCCATAGAATTGTAGCTCAGTGTATTCTCTCCTGAATTGAACATTCCTCCAGTTTTTTTTGTCAACCGATTCATCAAATCCAGTTTAGGGTCAAGTGATTGGAAATGCTAGAATATTAACCAGAGAAGAAGAGGCCTGTGTTTAGTGTAATGATACCCAGTGCCTGAAAATTTGAAGCTCAAAGCCATTTATTTTTCATTTGAGTGTTTTGTCTGTTTCATTTAGCAGCTACTTATGCTCTCTTCGTTTAGAACATGTAGTGTAATTAAAAATGCTTGTGACTGAGGTGGTCATTAGAATTATTGTAACAGATTGATAAGTAACAAATTGACAGTTTTCTGTAGGCTTTTTATTAAAAGCAAATGCTTTATTTGTAGTAACTAATTTCCATTGCATTTCATGTACGCCATTTTTAAAAAATACGATGTATCTTGCAGATTGTGTAAGCACTAGTGGTGGCTTTTCCAGTTTCAACTTGTTTCTCAGGCAATTCTTCCTCTGTACGAAGAGCTTTGACTATTTATGTTCCTTCAAATCATCAATTACGAATGGACGTCAAGTGTATGACTTTTGTAAATTTAGAAGAAGGGTCTGTCTTGGTTGCACTTGGATGTAATTAAGGTTTCTAGATTTTAAAAGATTCCAATTTATTCTGTGTCTTGTGTAACTCTAATATGTTTTATGTACAGTAATCCATTTAAGCACAATGTTGCAACAGGTTGGCAAGTTTTGTAAGAAACCTGGCAAGAACCCCTGACATGGCAGCACTTTTAACATTCTGGATGTTAAGCAAACATTGCCAATTTGCTTTGTTAGGAACCTAAAGTGTTGGTGTTTAAATCAGATGTAGACAAAAACTTTCAAGTCCAATTGGAAAAATGATTAATCCTTGCCTTTGTTAAAAAGTGTTCAATTGGGTGATGCAGTTTGAGCAGCTAATACATGGAGCATGAGGAAGATTGAACCCTGGAGTTGGTGCCAATCTCTGGGTGGGTGGAAACATAACCTTTTGAGAAACTGATGTGTAAGTAGGCTGGGTGTTGCAGACTCTTTTGAATGCAGTAATTTTAGTTAAGCAATGCAATTTTGGCAGGTAATTTTAATTGGATGATTTTATAGCAACATGAAAGTAGTAGAAAAGTTACCTACACACTTGCAATTCTTTAATTTTCTGAGAAATCTCTTCAAGCTATGTGCAGCCTTTCTGTATTTAATTTTTTTGTTTTTTTAAATGCAGTCATTCTTGAGCTTGCATCATAATGTAGATTACAAAAACTACGTTATAGGTAGGGAGGAGCTAATTATAGAAACTTTGAGAGTTAAAGTTCTAAATATATGAAGGAAATTTCAAAACGGAATAAAATATTTTGTTAATTTCTTTTGTTCAAGCTTTTTCTGATATCCATGTGTTGGCTCAGATGATACGCAAACAGTTTTGCAGAGAGTAAAGTTAACCTTTTTGGGTGGGCGGGAGGTTTACTATCTGACAATATTTGACTAGTTTTTATTGTCGTCGTTACATTGTTACTTACACACACCCACACCTCTGTTTAGTTTGTAATGAGGCCAGATGCATCGCAACCATGTATGTTTCTTACAATATGTTACCTGGTGTAAAAACAAATAAAAGACCAAATTAATAAAATACTTTTTAGTAGGATCCCAGTGACTTTGTCTTGATTAATGTTGCTGTTCTGCCATGTACTTTCTCTTTTAAAATTCATCTTGTGTTTACTTGTGCCATGTGGTATTTCTTAATCAGAGACTTGCTCCAGCTACTGTTAATTTCATTGCTCCTGGTTCCTTGGACATTTTCCAAGAATGGCCTGAGATCATCTTGTATCTTAAGCTAAAAAAAGCTACAAAAATTTGCTCTAGCATTGCTGTGTATAAAGACATTTCACCAAAGAAATATTTTAAAATGCTGTTATGAATACATACGCTCGCTAAAAGTCAGGGTTTTCACATCCTGTTATATTGTATTCTTTGTAAAGATGGTTTAGCTTGACATTTTCTCCTACAATTTGGACTTTGGGAGTAACATCAAATCTGAAAGACACATCTGAGTGTTTGCTACTATAGGGATTGATAAATTTAGTCAGGGTGCAACAGTCAATTTGCCTTCTCTATTATCAGCTTAGCTTTGATACATTTGTGTTTCATGCTCAAGGACTCCAAAATCCCACCCTGCTGCAGCTTTTACCTATTTAAATAATAGTCAGCTCTTAATATTCTTCCTGTCAAAGTGCATGACCTCACATTTTTCTCTTATTCCTTCTGCCAAGTTTTTGACCACTCACTCAACAGTCTGTAATCCCTCTGCAGACTGTCGTCCTCAAAATTTGCCTTCCCATCTCTTTCTCATTCGCAAGCTTAGCAACAGTACATTCACTTCCCCCATCCAAGTTATTAATATATATTGTTAGTAATTATGGCCTCAGCACTGATTTGTGTGGCAGTCCACTAGTTACAGGTTGCCATCCTGAAAATGGCATCCTTACCCCACTCAAGTCTTCTGATTGATTAGTGTTTTGACCAAGTGTGATGCACCCACATGTGGCAACACTGAACTTATGTAGAACTTTAAAAAATTGTGACTCAGAATTGGGCCATTGTTCTGACTGATTTTCATTGGTGTTAATGCTCCACGAGTCCCGTCCCAACTTACTTCGTCTAGTCTGCCAATATAACTTCTAATCACTTTCCCCTTGTGTTTATCTCACTTTCCCTGAAATGTATTTGTTATTCACCCACACAAAGCGGCAAGTTCCACATTCTAACCACTCTGTAGGTAAAGATGTATCTGTTGAATTCCTTATTGAATATGTTAGTGATGGTCTCCTATTAATGGCATCTAATTTTCCACAGAAATGGAAAACTCTACATCTGTCCTATCAAACATTTCATATTGATATTAGAAAACACCTTGAGCCTTTTGTTGAGAAATAGCTTCATCCTCCAACAGCTATAAGGTCTCATCTGCGTAGGTATTGTATTATCTTGCATATAGTGCCACATTATATGAAGGATGTGAATGCATTGGAGAGCATGCAGAAGTGATTTACAAGACTGGTTCCAGGGATGAGAAATTTCAATCTATCCTCATCGTTGAGACTGTTCTGTTTGGAGAGAAGAAAGCTAAGAGGAGATCTGATGGAGGTTTTCAAAATGATAATTGGCTGGGATAGCGTGAATAAGAAGAACCTTTCCTGCATGTGAAAGGAGCAAGAATACGTGGGCATGGATTAAAATGATTTGCTAAAGAACTAAAATTCTAGAAAAAAAAACTCATTTCAGCAAGTAGTTGGGGCATAGAACTCAGTTTGCCTGCATTTGACTCACTGTAGCCTATAAAATCTATCTCTGTCTTTAAACTTCAACTGATCCAACATTCACATTCATGTTTCAGATTTCCATTGGCCTTAATGTAGCAAATATATGCTTTATTCCACTCCTACATGATGTAACACTCTCGTTAATATTGTTTTCTTGTTTAGGACTCTTTTTCCTCTCCCCTATACCTACTCTGAAATGTACGTTGTTGCACTTGGTTCATAGCCTGCTATACCCTGGCGTTTGAAGTGCTGATCCAGATGTGTCTTAAATATTGCGAGTACCTGCCTCCCCTACCCTCTCAGGCAGTACACTCCATGTTGCTACCTTGTGGTGAATTTATCTTTTTCCCGTTAGATCTTCTCTAAAGTACCTACTTCTAGCCTAAAACTTATGCCCTCTGGTCTTAGACATTCCTGCCATGCAGGAAAAGATTCGTAGAATCTACTCTTGTTTATGCCTGTCATTAGTTTGTATAACTCAATCAGATCCCTCCTCAGCTTCCTTTTGCTCCAAGGAAAACACACCCAGCCTATCCAGTCTGTCCTCGTACCTGAGACTTTATATCCCAGGCAACATCCTGATGAATCTCCTGGACACCCTCCAGTGCATTCACCTCCTTCCAATGGTGTGTTGACCAGAGCTGCACACAACATTCCATCTGTGGCCTAACCAATGTTTTATAAAGTTGTAACAAAACTTCCTTGCTCCCATATTCTACACCCCAGCAATTGAAGGCAAACATCCCCTTATATCATCTTCACCACTCTGTCTATCTGCTAACTCCTTCAGGGATCTATGGACTTGTACACCAAGGTCCCTTTGTTCTTCTTTTCTAGAATTCATTGTGTATATCCTTCCCTTATTAAACCTCCCATATTTGGCATGGTGACAAGTGGTGAACACTGCTGTCTCACAGCGCAAGGGACCTGGGTTCGATTCCAGCCTTGGGTGACTGTCGAGTTTGCGTGTCCTCCTAAGTGTCTGTGTGCATATCCGCTAGATGCTCTGGTTTCATCCCACAGTCCAAAGATGTGAAGGTCAGGTGGATTGGCCATGCAAAAAACCACATGTGGGGTTATGGGGATGTGGATGGATCTGGGTAGGAAGCTATTTGCTGGGCTGGTGCAGACTTGATGGGTTGAATGACTTTTCTGCATTGTAAGGATTCTATGATCTTATCAGAATTAAATTTCATCTGTTGTCATTGTTTTGCCCAACTCACCAGCTGATGAATATCAGACTATAGCCTGAGACCATCCTCCTCTGTATTAACACCTCCCCAATTCCCATGTCATCTGAAAACTTACTAATTATGCCTTCTACATTCACATTACAGCTAGTCATGTACAGAAACAGTGAGGATCCCAGCACTGAAACCTGTGGTACACTGCTGGTCACAGGCTTCCAGTCACAAAAATATCCCTCAGCTATAACCTTTTGCCTCCTGTTTGTAAGCTGGTTTGGACCAGTGTTCCACATGGAACCCTGCGAAGGGCCTTACTGAAGTCCAGGTAAACCGCATCAACTGCACTACCCTTAATATATTGAATTGCCTTTTCAGCAGCTCAATTAACTTAGGATCTCCCTCCTAACAAAACCGTGATGACTAGTCCTGATCAATCCATCTTTCCATAATCCTGTCCCTCAGAACTTTTTCCAATAATTTCCCTACCACTGGCATCAGAAGGACTGATCTATAATTATGTGGTCTATCCAGATGTTCAACATTTACAAAATTCAAAATAACTACATTTTTTCAAACATTCCATGTTTGGGAAAAAAAATGTAAAACTAAGTGTTGTACCCCACTGTAGGTTTTGTCCTTCAGAACTCTTAGTTCATTGGCATTGCAGGAGGTCATTTATGAACTATAATGTCAGATTACAGTAATTGCAGATTCCAGACTGTTGAGATCTCTGGACTTCGCCCATTCTTTCTTGCACTTTCTTGTGACCTCTTGGTTCCTGTGGAATTTATCCACTGCAATCACAGCTCATGTACAGTTTTCAGGACCTTAAAATATCTAACATCACCTCATGATTGCTACTGAATTTTATCAAGCCTTCTCTGCTGTTTCCTGCAAAACAACAATGACTACACCTCAAAAATATTTCATAGGCTGCAAAGTGCTTTGAGATGACCCGAGTTTGTGAAAATTCTACACAAAGGGAAGTCTTTGAAGTTTAGTTTTACGCTGGGTCATGCCCGAGACTATAGGGTGTGGTCCTAGATTTCTCGGTAGTTGAAAACTGATTAAGTTGTACGCTAGAAAATGTTGATGTTGTGACCATTCTTTTTAACAAAAAGCTGAACTGTATGACAATTGAAGCTGATATCAAAGACCCTCCCTACAAGATATTGGCCTTTTTCAGTGATAACACTTATCACTGAAGCAAAAGGTCATGGGTTCTAGTTTCACTGTAGAGATTTGAGCATGTAAGCTTGGCTGACGCTTCATTAACATACTAAGAGAATGCTACACAGTCAAAAACTTTTAGATGACATTTACTTCCCCTCCAGTGAAAGAGAAATATTTATGGCATATTTTTTGAGGAAGATCAGCAGTTTTCCCTGATGTGCTCCCCAGCATTCATCCCCCAATGAACATCACTCAAACAGGTCATCTGGCCATTTATCTAGTTGCTGCCAGTGGGATCTTGCTGTATATAATGGTCAAGAATATTTATCTGCAGGCTCAAGTGTTATGACAGTGACAACATTCAAAAGTACTTAATTGGCTGTGAAGCATACTGGGACATTCTATGATCATGAAAAGAGCTGTATAAATCCAAGTTTGTTCTTTATTTCCTTTAGTTTATAAAGGCACCTGAGCAAAACTGTCTGATTTGTTTGTTGTAAACAAGACATTGAAGTTTTTCATGTTGATATCCAATCAGGTCTTGTAAATTGGAGACAAGTTTGGATGTTGCCATTTTCAGTCACATTTAGCAAGAATTATTTTCCGTTCATGTTGCAAAATACACCCCACCTTTACCAATCCATGTTTCATAAAAATCATTGACTTCATGATAGTTAATATGGACATGTCGGTTTAGTGCTACCCAATTATGGATTCTTCTAACTGAACGAGGTTTGCAATTCACCCATTTATTTTAGGATGCTTCTCCTATTATTTATTCTGCGTTCCAAAGTGGAAGGGCATTACAATGAAGTGCCAGCCAGCTCTCAGAGACAAGTTGATCTCCTGCTGTATATAGTGCAGTTTATCACTGTCAAAGTACAAACCCAGTTACACCACTGGGAGTACTGCCTTCCAGATGCGATGTTCAGCTGCTTTGAGATACAGAGGTGACCCCTGCCTTG